ATCACTGTATAACTTCAGCATTGTCCGACAATCAGGATTATAATTCCCTAAGAGTGTAGCAGGTGGGAAAGTGAAGTGCGGATAGTAGTCACCTCCCATCCATTCTTGGCAGGGAGAAGGGAAGTCACACTGCTAGCAACTTTCTGCACCTATTTCAACATCTTGCTTAAGTTCTTTCATATTTTGTCCTAATTCTGGCTGGTGCTGCTTGAAAGGTCTTCGTTCAGGAGAAAGCCACGTTGGTCAGTGAAATTCTTGGGGACAGCAAGCTTATAAAATATACTTTGCAAGATGGAATTTGTGAACAGATCAACAAATAGATAAATGTACTCCAAGATGATAATCTGCCATTTTAAGCATCACCCTGAAGCCTTGCCATGATACAGAATATAAGAAGTGTAGATTATTTTCTTTTTGTTTATGGGACAAAAATACTACACTACTTTCTTAAAAGACCCTTCCACCACTGTTGGTCTGAGTTCTACCCTGAAGTTTTGACAGGAGGACTCTGAATCAGCAGGGGCAAAAGTAGTGATTCAAGAATGAAATACTGCAAGATGTTTTGGGAAAAACATAAGCCACTAAAGGACCAAAGAGGGAAGAAATAGAACGGGGAGATGGACAACAGATAACTAGAAAGACAGATTTGTCATTTGGTTCTTCAACAATGACTGGAGCTCAAGGGAGGAAAACAGATTGCAGTCAAAGGACCTGTTCAAAAGATTCCATTAGATTCGATTTAGATTTAGAGGTACTGAAACATGAGACATGACAGACAGTACTGAGGTTCTGTTTTAAACAACAGTGGGCTCTATTCCCCCAGTTCTACTTCTCCTTCCTCTCTCCTCTTGCAATAACCATGTCTTCTGGCAGAAATAAGGACCTGCTTATCTGGTAAACACCATGTACCCTCAAAAACTAAATATCACAAACTTCCCCATGTGTTCTACATTAATGCTCAAGAACCTACTTCTGTGGTTAACAGAGGCCTATATAACAATCAAGTAGTATCCACTGTGGCTAACATTCAAGTGCTTCTTGAGGTGGGGAAAACTATGGGCCTGAGTGCCATCACTGGCCTCAGGACAGTTCAGAAAGCCCATTATCTGAAGGCTAGCTATTAATTAAAGAATATTAGTTATGTCCACCATGTATAGGTAAACTCTACTTCCACCGGCCCTTCTACAGGCAGAAATGCTAGAGGTAGTATTCGCTGGTGGGCCAGAATACTTCTTCACAAGAGTCCAGGGAAGAGAGAGAAACTCTCTGCAATACATAGTGAAACAAATGCAACAGTCAATCCAAAAAGTAATACAGCAGGAACCATGGAATAACCTCCAGAAACCCTACTTATTTTCTATTCTGTTAAGGCCACTTTATAAGGAATACGCAGCTGAAAGAAGCAGGAGATAACATGTTAAGAGTAATGCCTGCACAAAAGAACTTCCATGACAAAGCTGAACAAATGTAAATGCAATGCCAGCCTACATGCAACTACATGAGTCCATTGTACTGAGCTCTGCAATGTGGTTGCTAGCAGACACTCTTAGCCAGCATGGATACATGGACATGTGCCAACCTTGCAGTTTAGACACGTAGATGTGGCTGTTACAGTCTTTGTATATAGCATACTATTTGCATACTCAGAAAGTGCTTTCTATAAAAAAGAAAATTAAAAAAAATAAATCTATTTAAAGAAGCCCACAATCTACCTTGTCTTGTATGATTTAAAGTATAGTATTAATATTTTGGTAGTCATGACATTGGATGAATCTGTCTGATGAATCTACAAAGATACAGCCATGATCTGCTTATTCTCATGATGACACTACAGGAGCAGAATTACATCTGCACAGAAGGAGGGCAAACTGTGACAGTAGTAAAATAAGCCAATACTTTCTTGCATACATTTTTGTGCTCTAGTATCTAAGTTTTCATTAAAAAAAGAACAATTCTCCTGTCTGGTAAGGCCATTTTATGCTCCACAAACAGCTGAAGGAAGTGAGATGACCAGCTAAGCGCTTTTCCTACACAAGAGAACTCTCTCACCTATTATGTGCCACCTTTGTTATTTTCAGCTTGAACCCTCTGGAGTAACAGTGGCCAACCTGTGGCATGTATGCCACAAGTAACACAGGAAGCTTCTCTGCATGGCACACAGCAGGTTGGGGAGGGTACAGGCAGCACAGCAACAAACAGAGTAGGAAATAGAAAACAAAGTAGCAGATCAGGCAGGGAGCACAGGGGAGGAAACAGAAAGTGGAACAGCAGATTGGACAGAGGAAGGGAAACCTTAAACTGGAAATTCCCAACTAATGTGTGCGTCTTGGATCCCAATATTTGTAAGATAAAATTCAAGCTTGGGAAAAGTCTAAAAAAATATTTTGGCTTCAACTAAGAATTGGTGTGTAAACATACACGATATTAGTTTGGTTTTAGTTCAGTTTGAGAGATGACGGATCAAAATAAAGCATCAAGCTTATAACAGAAAGCTAGCTTTAAGCTCAATTAACTACTGAAAATTTGGAAGCTCTCCACATTTGTTCACAATTATTATGCAGTGTTTGAATTACAACTATTTATAACCATTACTATATCATAACTAATGATTTCCATACATCAGAGACTGCTTTTTACCTTATACCCCAGACTAGCCAACTGAAAGAGATGTTTCGAGATGTTTCCTACATATTTCAGACACAAATTTATTTACTCCTACTTATATCCACCATCACAGTATTAATTTTGTGTATTATTTATGTAGTAAGTCAGGGCTGTCCAACTTCTGAGCAGCTGGGAGCCATATGACGGGCAGGCCGCAGGCCCTCCAGGCCTCATGTTGCACGAGTCCCGCAACCACATGGGATGTACACTGCATGGGTTCCCGAGCCTTGCAGGCCACATCACTCCACCCCCTGATTTGGAGAGTGGCAGCTGGGCAGTGAACAGGAGTGAGCCAACAAGCCAAGAGTTGGACAACCCTGTGTTAACTCTTGAAACATAAACTGCTCTTACATGCAATAGTTGTAATCATACACATTTAAGCTTTTCTACATTATTAAACTTTCAATGCCTTTTCAATGCCCTTAACTAGCTTTGTTTCTTGGCACAGAATTAGAGGTATTTTACCTCCCCAATAAAGAAGCAGCACAGCCCAAGCAAAGGACCACCAGGATTCCCACGTTCACACTTCTCTTCAGACACTATAAACATTTTGAGCTATAATTAACTTACTTAAATGAAGACTTTTCTTCTTAAGAATGATGGAGTATCATTTTGTTATTTTAGTAAGTAAAAGGGGATCAAAGGTTTATGAATCATTTTAGCATGAAGGGCCTTCACAATAACCCATGCCAGCCTTAATCTTCTCTGGGACTTAACTGGTACATAAGGCTTTGTACAAGTCCCTGCACTGATGCGGTTTTACTCCCATATAAATACTGTATGCATTTCTCTTTTCTTAAGTTAATATTAAGAGTCATTATTTTGCCGATATACTATTTTCTCTATATATAAAGGGCTTAGTCTGTCTGTCTGTGCGTCTGTCTGTAATGCTCTTGGGCAGCGTGGCTACAAGCCAGTGCTGCGCACAGGGAAAATTGCCCATCAAGAATGATGGCGCGGACAGAGCACTGCCATGACCGGGGAGGGGTGGGGGAAAATGACAGAGGGGATGGAGCACCACCATGACAGTGGGGACAGAGTGGGACAGCTGAGTGCCGCCATGATAGCAAGGACAGAGCGGGGGGAGGAGAGGGGGGAGGCCAGCACCACTGGCATCACCCTGCCCCAAGCCCTGCTCCTTGGAGGCAGTGGCAGCACAGGGAGGTGGTAGCACAGCATTGGCCTCGCCCCGCCCCTCTGTCCCCACTGTCATGGTGGCGCTCCGTCCCCTCCGTTATTCTTGATGGGGAATTCGCTAGTTACAGAATAAAGTGCTGGTGACCATTCTGCGGTCACAAGCAATTAGAGGTGCACCAATACACTCAATTTTCTTTATATCGAAAATCAGCCTGATGTGGCCAATAATTTGGTCAATAAATGCCTGTGCATGCTCGGCAGCTTAGAATGCTGTGTCCAACTGGTAAGTCTGTTGTGGTGCAAGGGGAAGGGGGAGGGAAGGGGCATGGGGGGGGAGATAAATGCCCCCCGGAGTGAGGGTGGGAGTGGAGCTGGGGCAGGTGCTGCCCAGCCGGGGTAGGGCACGGAATGAAGCCATGGCTTGTTCAGGAGTCTTCGGGGGGGACCGGCACACACCCCGGGAAGGCATGGGGGGTGCCCTCAGATTTGTGCAGGGCATGGGCAGGGTGGGCTGCAGCTGCAGCCGGTGCTGGGCTCTTCCCAGCATGTCGGGAGGAGGGAAGGGGGTTGGGATGGGGCTGCACTCGGGGCGGACAGTGGCAGCAAGGGTTGTTAGAGGGAGGTTATGGCTAAATTTGGGCACTGCCGCCACCCTGAGCACAGCATGGTCCAGCTCCCATCGGGAAGAGTCTGGCACAGCAGCAGCCTGCCCTGCCTCACCCTGCACAAATCCAGACCCCCCCCCCGCCCGGGGTTGGGACTGGGCCGCCCCCAGCCCCAGCTCCACTCCCACTCTGTCCCTCACCACGGGGGGCATTGATCTGCCCCCATCATGCCCCTTCCCTCCCCCCTCCCCTTCCACCACAACAAACTTACCAGTTACATGCAGCTGTATCGGAAATCAGATTGGTATCAGTCAATATGCCTCCTTAAAAATCGGATATCGGTATCAGCCCCCAAAATCTCTATTGGTGCACCGCTACCAGAAATGTTGGAAGTGAAATCCATGCACACTTATAGCTATGAAAAATAATACAGATAATCCAAGAGCAACAATTCAAAAGGCAGTTTTGTTGTTTCACCTTATGTAAAACAACATTACCGAGACCTTACCAATCCTTTTCCACACTCCACAAAGCACTAGTATAATCTGTCATCAAAAAGCATGTTGTAATTTGCTGTTTTTAAACATTACTAACATTTTAAAGTGGTCTGGAGAGTGTCTTGGTAATACGGCTCCCATGCCTGTTTGGGGTAGTCCAGTCTCCCTGCAAATTAGACGAAAATTTTCAGAGAAACAGCAGAATCATCAGCAGTTATTCTTTTCAGACTTAACCCTATATGAACTGATTTAAACCAAGTTTTCAATTATTAATATTTAAAAAGAGAAAGTGTCTCTCAGATCTGTATGAAGAAAACTTGCAGAAGTTATTAAACTAGCAAATGGCACATTTCTCCCATATTCATTAAGACAGAAACCGGATTCACATTAATTATATTTCTCAACTAAAGTAAAATGTAATTCTTTCTACCAGAACCGAAATTAGTGCACAAGTTAGCAGATTATCATTTCTATATGTGCTTACTATTGCTGTCTGAAGGATGGAAAGTATTATGCCACCTCAAATACTTAATAATATATGTAGCTCTTGCTTTCTGATAGCTGGATATGACCAGCGTGGCAACTGAGGATCACTCCTGGAGCTCAAACCTAGAGAGGATCCACATCAGGGAGAATGTTCAACTCAGAAGTTATAAAAACTTTCACTTTAAAGTGGGATCCCTCTGATTTGGTGGATGGATGTCCCTGTACCATTCTTCTTATTTACAGATCATTATATCTACATATGGGATCAAAGGAGAGGTGGTCCTAGGTCCAGTTTATGATGCTAGCATGAATAAAAGGAAAATCTGGTGAGGGGACCTGGTATGTTCCATCAATAATTGGATCCAAGGGAAGAAAGTAGAAGTGATATATTTTTATCATTCTTTTTTTATGCATCTGCCATTTGAATGCAAATTCTGTAGTGCATATGATATTCAATATAATATACCTGTCAATAACACCGTCTTCAAAGTTATCTTCATTTAGCATGGATTTATAAATCTTCATTTCCTTATATTCTTTATTTGTAAAGGGTTGAGACAAATGATCCTGATATGTAGTGACCCACACCTGGAGAATAAAGGTCACATGTAAAAAGATAACTGTTCTGAGAAGAAAAAAAAAGAAACACCTTTCTGTAGATGGTGTAAAATTTTACTTGAGATGGTATAAAATTACTTGTTGTTTGTTATTTGATTATGTGGACACTACACCTCATAGCCCTGATTTACCTTGTACGTGTTGGGCAAAAACACCTATGGCCAGATAACAGCTATGTTTGAACACCTGGGCTGATCCCTAAGGCTTTGTTTTCACTGGGAAAACTTTTTCAGCAATGGTGAAGCCCCACCATTTCTACCAATGGTAACAGCTCCAGTACAGAGATGACACAGGTAGTTTTTACCCTGTATAACAGTTATGTTCACAGCAAGGATCTACAGCTCAAAACTGGTGCTGAAGCCGACCCAGAAAATGAATCAGTGAAAAAAACACAATTGGCACAGGTACTGGAAATATTTAAGTTATAAGAATTTGTTTTATTTCATGATTCCAACATTGTAATCAGTTTGCAAAGCTATAAACAGTAAACCAAAAGAAAATATAAACTGATTATGCAGTATTGTTAAAGCAATCAATGAACTTATTGAACAAGGGACAAAAACACTCATCTTATTTGATTTCCATTCTTATTTTTCTTTAGAATGGCATTACATTGTTTTGCATACTTTGAGAAACCTCCTTTTACTTTTTGGCCAATGAAATTCCAGTAAAGAAGCAACTAGCTGATAAGGTGACCAATAATTTAATAAGGAAACAACACATTTTTCAAGGAAGTGCAGAAAAATCTAATGTCCTTTAATCGACTCTTAGTACTTCCAAGTAATATAGAAAATTATAATATTGGCTAAAACATAAGACTACATTATAACCAAACATTTTTCCTTACTTAATGCTTCAACTATCCTTCTACTGTACCAGCATCTACTAAGCACACTGACAGCATCTCAATTGAAATGAACATTTTTTAAAGGCTGATTTAATCAATAAAGTAATATTTTACAGTGGAACTTATTACCTGGTTGTTATCTAAATGCTAAACATATCTGTCCTTGAAACTTATTACCTAACAACATTAAAACTACAGATAACAATAAGATTGTTAATAGAAGTTTAGGCCCTGATAAAGGCTTACTGCTTCTAAAATAAACATCTTGGCTTACTTAATCTCAGTATCTATTTTTAAGCATCACATTGCACTAACATTATCAATAGAATAAATATACATCACATGCCTATTAGAAAATGGAAGATGTTATCATCATATGGAAGCAAAGAAGAAACAAGTTTTAATATGCAATACATAAAAGTACTCAACATGTTGTATTATCTTCTCCCAAGCAGCCTCCCCTCAGTGGAGTCTCTCTGAGTGCTGTCTTTGGAAGCAAAGTGCTGTCTTTGGAAGCAAAGATTTTGAATACCATATTTCCTCACATACAACACATCCCAGAATAGGGATGTGTTGAAGTCAATAGGCATTCTGTTAACAATTTCTGGATTTGGCTTGGAATATCTGGAGAGAGAACCTGCCTGAGGCTTTAGCATCATGATTCTAGCTAACTGAGACACTACCTGAGTGAAAAGATCAATATGGTCACTGTGAGCTCCTCTGTCCTGTGTGATTCTTCACAGAGGCAGGACCACAAGATGCTAATCTGCCTAAGAGCCCGAAATCCAAATCATCTTCTCCTGCTCCTATATCTGGGCTCCAGTTGCTCCATCAGGCTTTGTGTAGCTTTATCACACAAAAACACCAGGGTGAGTCAAAGAGATTCAGGCCAGTCAGATTCAAGATTCTTCATAGTCAGCTACAATTTAACATTTGCATTCACCTGGTGGGAAAAGGGGATACCATAATGGCCAGATAATTATGGGAAGAGACTGTTCTAAAAATCTAAAGGTTTTATCTCCATTTCTTAAACAATGAGTGTAATCCAGCATCTATATTGGTATCAACATATTGACACAAAACATGTGTGGTTCCAACAGTGGTCATTATAACATGATTTTGTTTACCTGGGTCAGCTGTTTTGTAAATCAAAGGAAATCCTCGTTAAAAAGTGTGAGATGTGTTTAACTTGCTATAACACACTCTTGGCAGAAAATACAGAGAAAATACCAAGCTAAATGTTAAAATAAATCTCCTAACCCATTGGCTTAAAAGTATTAGTGCACCCCCTTGTGTTATAAATGATCACTCTAAATCTTTCACGCTTGTCTAGCCTACAGTTCTACTGATTCAAATTGTACCTTTAAGGATGCAAGAGGTCCATCAAACCAACTCTCACTTCTAACCACAGTGAAATTCATAGATGTCATACAAAGGTATATAAAGTGTTAAGCGTTTACCATAAGATACAGCTGAAGAAAGAAGAGTGTTGTGCTCTCTTCACTACTAAATTAAAGCCTTGTATAGCTAGCCACAAATCTAATTAATTATAGAAGAAAAAGATGCCTACTTGAGGAAAACATTGTATAAAACAGTTAGCTTTCATAATTAAAAAATAATATTAAACCATAGCATATACACTCTACACAGGGAACTAGTTTGTACCATACGCTTACAGTCACAACTATTTTCTACAGTGCTAGAAAAGCTGAAAAAATATGCTTGATTCTGGTGGAAAGTAGCCGTATGGATCTCCCCTACTGCCTATTCTTTTTTAAATTACAGCAGATTTAGGGGAATTTGACAAAACTAGAAATGCGTGATGCACAGAAAACCTATTTTCAATTAATACAATGTATCATTTATGTACGTCTATGACTTTCAATAGCACTGGAAGTTAAATAATTCTGTTACAAGTCACAGAATTACAAAGATCTCAGAGGTGTCACAGGGCCCAATTCCAATGTAATCTAAGATTTTTACATGACTTTATTTTCCTAGAGACCTGAATAATAAGAAAGCTAGACACAAAGAGATTTAGTTGACATATTTTACTGTAGTTACTGTTCCCTTGGAACATGTTCTTTATTAATTGGCAGGAGTGGCAAAATGTTTCATTTAGTAACGGTTCACCGTAAAGGATAATATTCCCCTATTGTTTTAAGCAGATGTGTATTTTGTATTGAATGTGCTTAAGTAGAATTGAGATAAAAACACAATACTAAGACTTAACACAAGGGTGTCAATGTCAGCCTACCCCCTGGGCAAGATCCAGACCATAGGCTTTTCACAGGCCAGATGTTGATGCAGCAGCAGAGCAACAATTGCTTGCCCCTGCATCACAAATGCATTTTGATCGCAGCCCCCGCCCTATTTATCAGCCCCAATTTACTGGATTCCTCAGCAGAGTCTACAGCTGCAGTGGGGGAGCAGAGGGTAGAGTGGGGAAAACAATAGGCACAGGGGTGGGGTCAGGAGGTGGGAAAGCAAACTGCAGGTGCCCGCACAACACACACACACACGCCATGGTCTCTCCTGCACTCCTCCTGCCCATGTGCACCCTCCCCAACCTAATGAACCATTCCAGCCCAGTGCAGGCAGCAGCTCTAATCAGGCTTCAGCCCCAAGAACCAGGACAAAAGAGCTGAACCCCTACCTGCCCCAGGCCAGTACTTGAATCCAAGACAAGTTTTTTTTTCCCATGCAGACTGGGGGGAAAACCTCATCTTGGATTCATGTAAATATGGTATTCCCCCTCCATCTCAAACACCTACACCAATTATAGACTTAGTGCTACCTTTGATACATCTATGCTATATTGGTTTTTTTAGATACTATACCCATATTAAAATTACAATCTGTTGCTTTTTTAATGTAACCATATAATTCAGTGCATCAAACTCTGTTGCTCTAACAAAGGCAGAATTGAGACTCTGTTCCTGCTCTCACTGAAGTAAAGATTTACTTCAATAGGAGCAGGACTGGGTTCTTAAATCAACAAGAAATGGAAAAGAAAAAAGTTAAAACTCCTTAAGTAACAATAATTTATTTCTCTTGGGCATGTCCCAAAACCAAAAAACTTTTTTTGTAAAAAATACATGGAACATTAATTGAAACCAGTATACTAATCCACCACTTCATCTGTAAAACCTCTTAATGTAAAAGCAATATTTAAGGCTATCCTAAATGTCATCTTTTTTACAAACATTCTTATCAAGTACAAAGAACACATGCATTATGACAGTACAACCACCTTGAAGGTGATCATTATGCAAGATGCACAGTAAAGAATAGTAAGAACTCCAAGAAGGATGGAACTTGTAATGGGAGCATCTACATGTGAAATTAACGCATATGAATAAACTCTGGAGTTCATTACTCTGAAGTTTTTAGCTCTCGGACACACTGTTTGAACATGTGTCTGGGAGCAAAAAACTCTGGAGCAATGAGCTCTGGAGTTTGTTCATGCACAGCACATGGGGCCCAGTGAGAGCAGCCTAGGGGGCTGGTTGAGACATGAGGATGCTTCAGTGCAGGGGCTACTCGTGCCTCAGCCAACCACTCCACAGCATGTGGAGCCCCATCAGAGCAGCCAGCTCCAAGTTGAAGCACCCTCATGCCTCAGCTAGCATGAGGGCTGCCTGCCAGCTAGCATCCTCGTGCCCCAGCCAGCCTGGTCGCTGTCTACACTTGCATTTAAGCACAGTAATTGACTGCACCATCAGACAGTACTTGTGGCTGACAGGACTATCCAATGGCACAGTAAATTACTCTACTGCACAGTAAAGTGCACGTGTAGATATGCCCACTGATTATATATCATCTTCATAAATAACGTAGATTCAAAAACCATGTTTCAAAAAGACTTTGATCCATTAAAGTAATCTAGAGTTAATCAGAGTGAGAAAAAGGAGGAAGATGCCAACTTTCCACATTAATAGCCAAGAGAGACAGATTTAAGCATGGAATATTTGGTATTTGTGAGTCAGATAAGTGAAAAATGCTCGAGTGTCACAACCCAATTAATCAGTGCCCATGCCACTAGCAAGACCATCCTCATTTCGCACACTATAGTCAACCAAGGGTTAAAAAGAAAGAAGTCCTTGCCAGAGACTTAAATTTATGCCCACGTCACATCCAAGAAACGAAACTTAAGCATAATTTATGATTGGTTAGAGTAAAAGGGGATAGCCCTGCCATAAATCCCTGCGATTGGTCAAGAAACAAGCGTAAGCCCCTCTCACGTAACGGACAGAAAGCCTGACCCACTACCTTGTAACCTGATAGTAACCTGAGAGCACAAAGAACTGCTGCTTGTCAGATAATTAAAGATTCCACATAGCAGTTCATCATTGGACACCTTCGTTAGACACCTCTGTCTATAAATAGTTTAGCAACTTCTGCCCAAGTCGGAGAAACTCTAGGAGAACTCTGGGTAATTCAAAGAGGAGACACCTAGACACCTAAGCTCGTCACTAGAGTGATTGACGGTTTGATCACCCGTCAATACTCCCCGTCAGTGCTAATTTTGATGTAGTAAAAGCCCTGCAGGCTCGATAGCATGCTTTCAGCGCTCCATCCGTCATTAATTGATTGTGTAACCTGAACCCGCGCAGTCAACTATATAACTGAAGCAACTGTAACGGGACCAAGGCTCAGCCTGCGTCGTACGTCACTATCTGGGCGACGTAAGTAAACAATCTCCTGTAACCAACACGCGTCTGTGTCTGGTTAATTTCACTCATCCATCACCTACCCGCCTGTCAGGTGAAAGTTTTATTACCCCAGCTCCGGGATTCAGAAAGCAGCAGCGGCCGGCTGCTCTATTCCCGACATTGAGAAGAGGATATTCTAGTTTGCTGACACTTTTATCCTAGAAATGACAGTGTTATTGACTACAACTTTCTGTAGTAAATTGCTATAATACAATTTTATCTTACTATAAGGTTTCATTAGAGAAAATGTCTCTGCTTACTGTTGGCAAATTCATTTTTGTTTCTCTGTGCTAGATCCTCAAGTGGTGTAGATGAGCATACATTTATTTCTGTGGAGCTAAACCCCTTTCCACTAGCAGGATACATGGCCTGGACATTTCCTAGCATTGTAGGTTGTATTATATTAT